AGAGAACAACTTGCTTTTGTCCATATTGAACACAATGCTCTATTTCCCTTCTCCCCTTAATGTTTCGTTGTCTCTTTCCTCTTCAGTCACTGACTCTAAAATCTCTTTCCACTCCGCTCCTGCATGCCGTATCTATTATCAAGAAACACATGTCAATCCCTAAGACGTTGCTCCCTCCCCTCTCTCTCTCTCGATCTCACTTTCATCCTGAGGTGCAACCATGGCTTTTTGATTTCCAGTTTGCTATAGAAGTCAAGAAGAAGCACTAAGCGATATTATAGAATATAGTAAATTAGATACCTAGAAAAGCTAAAGGGGTAGGACAGTTTATACGTGAATCAAGCCAGTGTGTTCTTTCTCTTTAGGTAAAATTCAACAAGCTCCTCTTCTTTTGGGTGACACCGGGTATTGTTAGCGCAGGCCAAGGGGGAAGTGGGCTGGGTTTTCCAATAGTTCTTTATCTCATTATCTGTTCTTCCTGGTAATATTCCTGCAATTAATGACCATCTATAGGAAACACCACCACAAAAATCCTAGTAAAGTTATGTTCAGGGTTTTTTGTGCTTAGAGCTGAACCTGCAAGTGAAAAGTTACTTCACGTAGATTTTGATTTCCAGTTTGCTGTAGAAGTCGAAGAAGAAGTGGAAGAAGAAGCAGTGATGGATATTACAAAATATAGTAAATTAGATACTAGAATATATCTTGTTATAAAGTTTAACAACTTGCTGAATAAGATGCTACAAAGATTATAGTGTTAGCAACACAAACAATTGATTTAGAAATGATACACAGAATTGTCTACATATAGATATGAATGCATACGTACAAGGCCATGTAGTATCCGAGTGTGAAAGAGGAAAGCATGAGAAGCAATATGAAAATGAAAAGGAACATTGGAATGAACACAATTGGGGTGTGGTGAGAGGGCAAAGAAAGAGGAAATAGAGCTGAGAAGTGCAACTTCCTCACCCATTAGGTGATGAGGAGAGGAAGAAGATGAAAACTATCAAAAGAAAAAAGTTGTTAACAAACATTTTCGTATATGATAATATGAATATCTNATATAGTAAATTAGATACTAGAATATATCTTGTTATAAAGTTTAACAACTTGCTGAATAAGATGCTACAAAGATTATAGTGTTAGCAACACAAACAATTGATTTAGAAATGATACACAGAATTGTCTACATATAGATATGAATGCATACGTACAAGGCCATGTAGTATCCGAGTGTGAAAGAGGAAAGCATGAGAAGCAATATGAAAATGAAAAGGAACATTGGAATGAACACAATTGGGGTGTGGTGAGAGGGCAAAGAAAGAGGAAATAGAGCTGAGAAGTGCAACTTCCTCACCCATTAGGTGATGAGGAGAGGAAGAAGATGAAAACTATCAAAAGAAAAAAGTTGTTAACAAACATTTTCGTATATGATAATATGAATATCTATTGCACACGATCCAGGGGTTGGTCCCACGCATCTCCCACAACCCATGAGCATTTCGAGACAAAGCAGAATCTCAAAAGAAAAAAGACATAATAAGACATTTATGAACAGCGAAATAAATAAAGAATGAAATGTATAAACTGTATGAAATAGTTCAATTATTAGTCCAAAAACTAGTTGGTTTAACTTTTTCGTAATACAAAGACCTATGAAATCTTCCACGCCCGGTCTCTTTAATGAGACATCATTCATTTTTGTTACTACAGGCTGAATATAATAACATTATTTTAGGTTAACTAAGCTTATTATTAATCTGTTTATATCTTTGATAAATTTTTATCATTCCCTTTTACTACTCCCTTAAAAAAAATTCATGTATTATTCAGAAGAAAATTCATTTACCTCTCTTAAGTTCCTACCAAATAATTCTCAGGATTTCAAATAATCCATAGATTGACACTGATTTTCTTTCTAATTTTAGTAAAATAGTATATTTTTTATATTGCATAGTGGGAAAAAACTTTAACAAAAGAATGGTGATTTCTTTAAAAAATATATTTAATTGTTACATACACAAATTTTGACCACCTTATAATTTATAAATTATCATATAAAAATTAAAGAATTGTACTTTCACGAAAATTTGTTAATATTGAATAAAATAAATATTTTCAAATATATGAACAAAATTACCTTATTGCTATATTTACATGCAATTTTAATATATGGATAAATTTAAATAAAGTAAAATCTAGAAGTGTTTTGCTTTACTTAAAGTATGACTCAGATAAAGAAATAAAGAAAATATAGGTTTCCTTTAAGAAAATTTTAGAAAAAAATGAGTGAACTTTTTTTCAGTATTTTGAGAAAAAAAATGATTTTACCAAATTTGTATATTTATTGATTAATTAAAATGTTATTGTGCATTACAATGTGGAAAGCTAGTTTACATGCACAGATAAACTAACGAACTCTCCCTAATTGTTTAATGTTTGTAATTTAAAAAAATTAAAGATATAAATAACAATTTGTTAATACATCTCAATATATTATGGATAACAGAAATTATTAATTTATTATGCAATGCATATAAGAATGATATATATTATCAGAAAAAATGAGAAAGATAAGGAAAAGGTTGTTGCAAAACTTTAAATATTAGGAGTGACAAATAAATCTATTTATATGAGAATTGTTCGAATTCGTTTTAATTTTGATAGAAAATATATTAACTAAATATCGATAATATTAGGTTTTTTATTTGGATATGAAAATGGGAACGAGTATATATATCTTAGTTTGTCCTTGTTTCCATACTTATCATGATACCATTATTATAGAAAAAATATGTTTTAATAAAAGATTTTTTTTTATAGAATTAGCAAACATGAAAATTAGTTTTGTATTTCAGAACTCATATATACAAAGTTTGTATTAATCAGAATTTAAAATATAAACTAAAACTATGACCATTCAAACTAAAAGCTAAAAGTATCAGAGACAGTTTTAAAACTAAAGTATTGTATATACCTAACTCCATCTCTCCAAAAGAATTACGATTTTACTCCTTCACTTGATTTTAATACAGTCTTTCGCTATCCTTTTATATATGGTCAATTAAACGAAGCATATATAATCTTATTTTTGAAACATTTAGTGCACGATTTAAAGACTCGGAGTCATTGTATATAAAAAGTTATATGTTGAGAATTATTTGAATTTCATTAGATGTTCCATCTAAAACATATCTGAATTCTCGTAAAAAAAAATAAAATCAATATTTGTAAATTAAATTAAACTTTAAATTAACTTAGGCACAAATTATTCATAACTTATGGTCCTGAAGTTCAATTTTACACATTACTCTCGTAAAAGTAATCTCCAGGGTTCATTTACCAGGAAAAAAATAAGTGAGAAATAATAAACAACAAAATAAGGAAGTGATTTAAAATAATATGGCGATGACAAATAATATCCGAAAAGTGATTTAAAAACAATGTAACAGCTTTAAGAGCAGATATAAAGTGTTTTTATATGGCGAAAGCTCGTATCGGACATAGGTACCTAACCTTATATTGATTGTAATGGTCATTACAAGATATAAAGTATAAAACACTTTATATATGACCTTGATTGAAGGTCATTACGATCATTTTCATTACAATCATTTTTATACGTACTCTTCAGGTCATTAAAATCAATATCAGGTCNGTTAATAAATATTTTTTAAACTAATTCAAGTAAGTAAATAAATGAAGTTATAATAAAAATAACATATTGTTCATAATACAAATATAAAAATAAGTTTTATATCATTTTACTGAATCTATCACTTAATCTATAAAAATGAAAATTATTTTAAATCTATAACAGTAAATTAGCAATCTAGACTAAATGCATAACATCAAATCTATTACTAAACATTTTCAATCTAGTTTTTTTTTTAACTTCTAGTTAATTTTCTATTCAATTTTAACTATATGTTAATTGATTTTATTAAACATCGGAAACATATTCTAGTGTTAAAATCCTTCTATATATATATATATAGATATAAAAAAAATTAGAAATGTCAAATATATAAAATATATTAAAAATTAAAAAAATAATTTAAATTATATATTAATTATATAAATATAAAGAAAAAAGATCCGCCCTTATTCAAAACCAAGACCACTACAAAAATAAATTGTCAGAAAATTCTTTCAATATCCGCCAAAGAAGACTCAACCAAACTGTTCACATGAACAAGGCTTATATCTTTATCTATCTCTAAAATATTAATACTCACAAATGACACAATTCCAATGTCTCCACTAACACCTTTTCGTCAAAGAACTCAATTTTATTGTTCTTTTGTTTTTATTACATTTTATTTATAATTTATTTTTGTAAGTAAATTAATAGTATAGAGAAAACTTAAATAATTTACTGTTCGAATTTGTAATTGTTTTATTTACCTACCTTATTTATTCATTTTTAGTTGTAGTCATAAACATTGACTTTAAAGAAATATATCACTTTATTAGTTATACTTTTATGTCATCTTATTGTAACAATGACTTTTCTCCCGCCAAAATTCATCAACAAAAACTAAAAATGGAAGATTTACAACTACATATAGAATTTAAAGTTTTTTAAAAAATACACTAAATTGCATAAATAAGAAAACTATTCAAGCCGTCTTTATTTATTAATCTCCTTCACATAACAATATTTATATATGTCTAATTATATTTTAAGTCATTGTGAATTTGTTTATATTTTGAATTAAGTTTTATTAATTTTTGTTTATATTTTTTAATCAAGTTTCTATCAATTAAATTTTTCGTTGAATGAGATGTACACTATGTATTAAAACAAAATTAATTGATAAAGATTAAGTTAAAAAATATAAAAGTTTTAAATATTTTTAAAAAAATTAAACGATGGTTATACTTTACATTCTAATAAGATAAATAATTAAAATAAAAATATTTAAATAATAAATATACAAACTTTGCTTCCTCGCAATTCTCATTCACCCATAAAACCATTGGTTATATATTCATCCACACCACACACTACAACACGCTGTCTTGAAACTTCAACCTCTTTCACGTTTCTTCTTCTTCATCATCTTCTTCTTCTTCTTGGTTCCCTCGAAGAAGCAAAGAAAATGGCTACTATCATCGACTCTCATTTCTTAGCGTTCACCGCACTTGTCACTGTAAGCATTTTCGATTTCTTCTCTCTCTTTTTTCGCAATCTCATACATTTCTATTTCTGTTCTTCTCAGACATTTACTTATCTTTGTTTAATTTTTCAGATTGGCTATCAGTTTCTGTTTTTCGTCATCACTGCGCTTCTCAAATTCGACAAAGTCACTGATTTTGCGGGTATCGCTATTCTTTACCGCATTTTGACCTTTTCTTTGACTTCAAAAAGTAACTACTATTATATTATGTTCTGGTAATAAACAAAGAAGTGGCTGGTAATTTGTATTGTTCTGTTAATGAATAAAACGAAGTGATTGTTGAAATCTTTCTGCCATCAATTTCTCTTTGAAGGAAGCACGAATTTCATCATAATTGCTGTATTGACCCTGGTGATCAAAGGCTCCTGGTATTTTCGGCAGGTAATTTGACATATCCTTTTCTTTTTTGTGTATTTTGAATTATCAGTATAAAAGCAGATTATAATTGACGATTACAAAACAGTCTTTATTCTCCTACCTGGGTTCCGATCGATGTTGAATAAAATCACTCTTTTCAGATAATCCTGACTTTGTTTGTTGTGATATGGGGAATTCGCCTGGCGTTTTTCCTGTTATTCAGGTATGTATATGTATATGTCCATGTAATATGACTGAATGGTGTCTTTTGTGCTTTTCTTGCAATTAAAGTAAATCGTGCACCTGGTGGCACCATTGTAGTACTACTATAGAGCATTGAGTAGTATAATTTTATTGATTTATACGTGGTTTATCCCATGTATCTTTTACAATTTGGACCACTTTCATAAATTGTTTTTCTTTTTATCTACTACCTTTTACTTTGCCAGAACATGAATGTTTCATTTCTTCTAAATCTTCATCCTCAAGCTATATTGCCTTCAACAGTAGGATGCAGCTTAATGTCAGGACTATTAGTTATCTAAGTGTCTTTATGCATGTCCCATAGTTGATCTAATTTCTGAATATGTTTGTCAGAATTTTGCAGTGGGGAGAAGACCGACGCTTTGATGAAATGCGTAATAATTTGGGTAGACTGGCCATATTTTGGATATTTCAGGTTTCTTAGATTTGTATCATTTTTGTTTTATGATTTGTATCAGGAAACCTTCTCTTTTGGTGCTTGTAATGGTCAATTTACTTTGATTTTTTACAGGCTGCCTGGGTGTGGACTGTGAGTTTACCGGTTACATTGGTTAATGCAAGCGACAGAAATCCCTTTCTACATGTTGTGGATATAATAGGTTGGATCTTGTGGGCTGTCGGTTTCATTGTGGAAGGTACAGCAGATCAACAAAAGCTGAATTTCAAAAGATCATCAGAAAATAGAGGGAAGTGGTGTAATGTTGGAGTCTGGAAATATTCTCGTCATCCTAACTATTTTGGTGAGGTACGTGCTAGTATTGCTTTCAAACGAAAATATTTTGGTATTGCAGGTTGTATATGGAAGAATGTACAGTAAGTTTAGTTGAATTTTTGAATTCAGCTAGGATTATTCTAATAATCTTTAGGTTCTTTCAACAATTATTGTGTTGCTTTTTGAAATAGGTTTTTCTTTTTCAACTCATTGAGTAAGGTTCAAGTCTAGCTTATGATATAATATGTGAGCTCTCATTTAATAAAATTATCGATTAATTGTCAAATTAAATTATTTACCCTAACACACTATTAGTGCAGCTGCAGCAGTTAGGGGTATGCTTAGGACAAGTTTGTCTTTGTCCTTATTGGACAAAAAATTTGAAAGAGCCATCTATGAGTTTGAAACTGATCCAGTAATATGTCAATTTCAACATTATATATAATTGAATTGTAGGATAAAATAAATATAAATTTTAAATTAAATTAATTTTTGAAATAAATAATATCAATATATGTGTATCGTATCATGCATATTTTATTTCAATATATGTATAACTTTTTTTATTATACAGAGAATGCTAGCAACAAATTTTCTTAATCACTCTACTATTGGTCAAAATTTGTTGGAAACTACAAAATCAAAAGTAGAGCTTATTAAATTAGAAATGAGACCTACAAAATTTTATGATTTCAAATAAATTTCAACCAATGATAAATTGTGACTTGGGATATTGTATAGCTATTTCCACGAAAATGTGCATAGGGTTGCTGAGATATGCCAGAATAGACTATCCTTTTACATTCCTACCTCTTCTATGTAAGATAAACTAAAGTGATAATTTTCTCCCTTTTTGCTGCTTGGCTACAGGTTGATTTTGGTATTTTTTGGGGTTTCAATGTTTTGACAATATTTCTTATTTTATTAGAAAACTAACGTAAAACCTTGATGGGTCATGAATGCTTAACTTAGATATTGCTTTGGTGGGGGATATTTCTGGCCTCTACACCTGTACTGGAGGGTGCTGAATGGCTGGTAATCATTGGACCGATCTTTCTCACATCGTTGCTTCTTTTTGTCAGTGGCATTCCGCTGCTTGAGGTTTGCTTCTTACCTATTATTTGATCAAAATTTATGCTATAACTTCATGGCTTTCCTGATGATGAATTGCATGATGGAAACAGGATTCGGCAGATAAGAAGTTTGGTAATGTAGATGGATATAGGATATACAAAACAAGAACAAGGTTAGTTTACCTCCATTTTATTATTTATTTTCTGTTTTAGTAAGGAGAAATATCTTTCTAGCCAATGGGATGATGCTATGTTGTTTTGTCGTTTAGAAAAAAGTGACTAAGCTAAATCATTTTCAGCCCTTTAATCCCATTGCCACCATCAGTCTATGGGAACTTACCGGCATGGTTCAAAAAAGCCCTTCTCTTGGAGTTTCCATTTTACAATCGTAATCTTCCACTAGAAGAGAACTGGTGAGATGCATTTTTAATTCCACCTGCATTATGCATTTGTGTATTTTTTGTACTCTACCATTTTGGATTTCACCAGCCTGAGTATTTTATATCATGAATTAATAGTCAAATTGTTTAATGATTTATAGAGTATCATTTTTTGGAAAGAAGAAAAAGAGTGACTCCAGATTTGTACCTTGAATTTGATGATTCAAGATTGCTCTGTGGATTAGAACAACGTATATGCCCTAGATCATATTGTAGGCATAAATTAATTCATTAAGAATGAGGTGACTATGTTGGAAAGATAAGTCATCTAAATTATGAAAGGGATTCAGAGTTGTATGTGTGTGTATATATTATCAACATATGTGCAAAATACAATATGCCATTGTTTAGGAAGGTCAGATGTTGTCTGTGAATGATATGGAACTGCCTTAAAATTCCTTATTGCGTCTCTTAATTGTAGGTGAGATGATATTTAACTATTTACTGTCTGCTCAAGGTGTAGAGGAAGCAGTGGGAAAAGCAGCGATGATCTGAAAATGGACTAGCACTTGGTTCTTTGAATTTGTTTGATTTCTTTCAGACGTCAGGCTCAAGTTGGAATCGCAATAAAAAATTAAATAATCTATTAATTTGTTTCTGATCGTATGCTCTAGTTCCTGCTTTCCATCTTCTATTGTGATTTGTTACTGGTTGTCTTACACATTTTAAAAACAGCTAAACAACCTCAACCAATCTTTTTCTCATACCAAAGGTGTTACAGAGATCAGATGACCCCGTAGTGTGTATTCATGCTCTAACCATGTCCACTACAAATTATTATAAAAAATGTTTATTTACATGCAATTCATGTATCAAAAATTGTTTATTTATATTACATAAATAATATTTGTCTCACGCGGTATAAACTATAATGTTAGTTGTTTTTTCTAAATAAAACAATAGTATAAGGCAACATTACCTCCCTCCCACGTTTTAGAAAGTTACGAGAGAAATGTTTTCACACGTTGAATCAAGCATAAACCCCCTTCTCACAAGTGTATGGAAAAGTCCACAAGGGTAATAAGAAACTCAAACCGCCACTGTTTTTATTGTGATTCTATTTCTACCTAGCTTTTACTTGGTCATGAGAAGTGCAATTCCACAGAAAATGGCGTTGCTTGGTGCATCCCCATCTTCTCGTTTCTCACCACAATTTGTTGACCCATTTACTCCATGTACCCGCAATGTTTACCAACTCCACATCCTCATGTATCTTGTTATGTTTTTGAGCTTAATATTTATTTTACTCACTGCACCCCACACTCACATTGATGCACCACACGTTTCACTAACATTCCCGCGTGTTTATTCACTTTTGGGCCTTTCTTGCCTGCGCACTTAGTTTTCATATTTTACTACGTGTACCCCACATGTTTACTTATTCACCTTCAACTCTTTTTTTTGTATATATAATATAAAAAAATTAAATTAAAAATTCAAACCAACACTCAAACAAATAATTGTTAAAAATTACGTGTTACTGATTTTTCACGATGAATGAAAATATGAAGAAACAAGGTTAGTACCTGACTAATTCATTTTAAAAATAAAAAATTATTAAAATTGTTTTTCAAATAGTTTTTCAAATTACGTAAACCTGAATTTTCTACTGAGAATATCAATAAATAGAAGAGATAACTAATCTTTGTCGACAATTTTCTTTCAAAAAAATTGCAGTTTTAATTTCTTTTGTACAGCATTTTATTATTATTATTTTTTGAGAAAAATCAATATTTTGCAAAACTATCTCTTTTGCATGTGTGATTAAAAGTAGCAGGGCAGGATGCTAACCGTTTTTTAAGTGTAATCGACTTCTAAATTCAAAATCCAATTTCATAAACAAATGTTTTATCTTTATAGTTTTTCAAAATAAATTATGACAGTGACTATTTTCTATTTTGATTTTTTTTTTTGCCTTACTATTTGGGTTTCCACACAGTATAATTTGTAATTTCTGTAAACCAGCAATAGCATTTCCATGCTTCCACGGTGCAGTGTTGTGAGGAATGAAG